TGATTATAGTCTTAACAGCAGATCTTTAAATCATACTGTTTAGGGGAAGGGGCAGAAAAAAATTAAAAAATTATCCAATCAAATTCTTTCTTTCTCACACAGTTCTCCACTAGCTCGCAGGAGAGCGAGTGCTAACCTACAGCAGGGCCCTTTCAGCTGTGCCACTAGTTCTCAACCTTTAGTGGGAAGGGGACGGCAAAGCCACTCTTTCAAATAAAATCATAAACAGAATCCCAATATATAAAATAGATAAAAGTTGAGCTGATCTATATGAAGCGGAGCTAAAGTTTTGCCGCACTGGCCTCCTTGATGAGTTTCCTGAGGCAGCTTCACGGTATAAAGTTTGAAAACCACTACACCAGGTCGGATATATTTTCCCAACTTATTATTTCTATTGCTTATTTGCTAGGCATTTACAAGTATAACCCTATAAAAAGACAAATTATGAAAGACTCACCAAGCACTTCGGAAAAAGCACTATGAAAATACTTGGGCCAGTGAAGCCCTGGAGATCACACACCACGGAGGCCAGCATTCTGCTCTCACCTGCAATTTTCAACGAGCGTGCCCCACAAGACGCACACGGGTGTGCCGCCAGAATGTTTCCTACATGCAATACCTGACTGACTAGGACTATTTAAAACATGCTATACGTTCTTTGCCCTTAGTTGTCAAATATGAAAATGACAACAGTCAACACAACAACAGCTGTCCAGTATGAATCAAAATTATACCTATTTTCTTGTCAGACTGGCAAAAAATATATTTTTTGGTGTGCCACAGTAATTAGTTCATGTGTGCCATGAGATGAAAAAGGTTGAAAATCGCTGCTCTGAGCCTTGCCACAAATTTGACATTCCCCAAGGATATCAGATTTCACTGGTGCATATCTGTCTCCGCACATGAAAAACAAAAATCTTGGCAGATAGTAACAGAAAATCTGAGGGCATTCAGATGGGCTACACCAAGCGTGCCACATAATTCACGTCAAGCAAGAAACAGCCCCGCTGCTTATCACTCTCCCTCTTCTAGCCCACTAATCAAATCATAAGGACAATTTAAATAAGCCTCATGTAAACTACACCTGTAAGTCACCACAAAATTCTCAAAATAATCCTGTTAAAATCCAAATAGAAGTTTCTAAATGAGGAGTCACTTATTAAATACCTACTATTAAATACTTACTAAATACCTACAAGGAGGTATCATTCACTCATTCCAAATACACTTTATTAAACCAATGGTTAATAATCAGTTCTCATAATTTGCCACATTTGATCACTTCTTCCTTTTTAACAGATCAAAAAAGTGATGCTCAGCAAACATAATTATTCAAGATCATACAAACAGAGCATATCAGAGAAGAGACTGGAACTCTGGTATATTTCCCTTTAAAATCTGTGCTCAGATATTCAAAATTGGGAGTCAAAAGCCTAATAAGCCCCTTTTCCTGCTCTTTGGAGTCCAACCAGGAACAGACCAACTTAAATGTGCACATGCACTTGCATAAAAACTAAACTAACGGCTCTTGATTTCCACCACCAATCTGTCTTTTTTATCTCTTCCTGCTGATCTCATATCTTTAATTATTACATGGAGAAGTAATGTCCATTCATTAGGACACATTAATAAAATTCCCTTCCAGTGTATTAATGCACAATAACATTTTCAGTGGTATATGTGGACTAAATGGATGACATTTATTTGGCAAATTTCTTAAACACCTACAATGGGTACACATTTATACCTTATCTATGTAATACTATATGGAGAGTTTGGCATTTTAACAGAACTGAACACTTCATGCTTCCCCAAATAAATGCAAACTTACTTGTATATTAGTCCAGTAAGTAACATAATATAAAAGAAAGTATAAAAGAGTATAGTATTTGAAGTTAGGCTCTTAACTCAGCTTTTCACATGCTATATATGTGTCTTTGGTATACTTGGACACATAAGAGAAACACTTAACCTCTCTATTAACCAGCCACAGTATCCTTGTAAGAAAAATGGGAATAACATTCATTTTACGGTGTCATAATAACCATTAAATAAGGTCACATATATAACTATCTAGAACAGCACTAAGAGAATGATGATAAAAATGTTCTATACCTTCAATGTCCAGTATGGTAACCATTAGCCACACGTGGCTATTGAGCACTTGAAAAGTGGCTAACATAACTGAGGAAGCAAATTTTTATAGAAACAAAATTTTACCTCTCATTCAAAGTCTAGGAGACCCTTGCCAAGGAACTGAATTTTAAATTTTATTTAATCATTTCAAATTTAAATAACCTCATATGACTAGTGGCTACCATACTGGACTATGTCAATCTAGAACAAGGCCTACCACATAACAGATGATCAATGTTGGTTTATTTATATTTTCCATATTAATCTCAGTAATTTTTTATATCACCCTCTTTATTAGTAGATCCATTCAACTAAAATAGCACAACAAAGAATCTCCCATAGGGAACTAACTTGTAGCTATTAAATTGCTTCTTCTCCCAAACAGCAATAGCAGCATAAAAACAAGTGACTTATTAATTAGTTGTATATGCTATACACTATACTAACAGCTTTGCATGATTACCTCACTTAATCTTTATAATAATTCTATGAAGCAGGTGCTATTATTTTGGAAGCAGGGAAATTAAGCTGAGAATTGGTCCAGAGACACACAACTAGCAAGTGAATGAGGAAAGATTTAAACCCAGGCAATCTAATTCCAGAAAACTGTACAAACTACCATGTTGACTTGCCTTCATCTTAAAGAAGCAGTTTACATAAGATTATGTACTTGCAATAAATAAACATCCTTCCAAATACCGCCACCAAACACAATCCACACACACACTGCTAACTAGAAATCAAACAACTGGAGTTACAGAACCAAAATTATGCATGCTAACCCAAAATAAATCTCATGTCCCAGCTGGTGTGACTGCATAAATGTACCAAATCTAGTGACTTTGCTCTTATCAGGAAGATTAAAAAAGTTTCATCATCTTTCTCCCCAGAACAAAACAACTAAAATGTAAATTCGTATTTTAGAACTAGAAACGTATCCTGATAAAAGAGTGGGGGAGCAGGATGGACACGGAAACACAAGGCAGAGACAGTCAGTATTCACTAGAGTCCCACGTCCCTGTCGACACAGGATATTCATTTGTTAAGACATCAAACAATTCTGCCAGGAGATTAACTGGATTCACTACATTTGCATGAAGCACGTCAACACTCTTGTCTTAATTCTAAAAGAAGCTTAATTCACTTAATGTGCAGCATTTATAAAAAAGTGCAGCATTTATAAAAAAGTATCTATTGTGCCCCAAGCTGGAATTCTTATTCCAGTTCTGCCTGACAAGTCAGGAGTATTTTACACAGAAAGCTACAGCATAATCTTTACTGAATTCCACAGAAACTTATACCTGACCCCTTTTCCTCTCTCTTGAAGGAGTGAACAAGAAAAGGCCACTGACCTTTACCCAGATAAAACAAAGTATGTAAAACTGTCTCCTCTTCCCAATCCATCATGCCTCTATCTTCTCTTTAAATTTCATGATCCTTGCTATTACGCAAGCCCCTTGATCAAAGCTAGCACTGAGAAAAAGATTCTATTTATGGAGAAGTTCTCAGTCCAGTATTATTAGGTACTAGAGAATAAAATGCTTTACAGATCTGTAATAAGTTAACTTAGAAAAAAACTAACACCTGTACATGTTTAGATTTGTCATAACTCAGCTTAAGCAAGTGCAGATGAAGCTAAAACCATAATAAAAAAATACAACCAACACCAATGTTCTAGAAACACTACTGAAAAACCAAGGAGCTGATGTAAGGCAGAACAGTCACGTAATTATGGCACCATCAGTGCAGCCTTGCCTGACGCGCTATGTGACCTGGAGCTAGTCCCTTTGCCACTTGGTGCCTTTCATTCCATATCAGTGATAGAGAATTAACCACTATATATCTCAGTGGAATAGGGAGTAGATTAAATTATTAAGCAAAATGCTTTGGGCAAAAGTCATATGAATGTTAAATATTATGATTTACAAGCATTCATTTTCCTAGCACTCCTGTGGGGTTAGAAGTTATCTTGATTTCACAGATGAGTAAACAGGCATGGGGGAGGGGGAGTAAGATCACATGGTGAAGCTCCATTTACTCAGTCCCTATGGGAAGGGAATACACACCCTTAGCTATCACATGAACTTTCTTGGCACATCCTGCAATCTTTAACACATTCAGTCCCTTATTTAATGTTGCATCTTTTAACATGCTATTGATGGAACAAAGACAGCTCTAAGACAGCCACAAGGCCATAATAAGTGAGGAGGAACAATTCTGCCTGTTTGGGCAAGAAGAGTGGTAGAGCCCTGGCTGGTGTGGCTCAGTGGATTGAGCATTGGCCTGCGAACCAAAGGGTTCAATTCCCAGTCAGGGCACATGCCTGGGTTGCAGGCCAGGTCCCCAGGAGGAGGCTTACAAGAGGCAACCACACACTGATGTTTCTTTCCCTCATCTCTTTCTCCTTCCTTTCCACTCTCTCCAAAAATAAATAAAATCTAAAATAAATAAATAAATAAATAAAGAACAGTCATAGAAAGACACATATAATCTCAAGATGAAATTTCCATTATTATTCTCAAGATTTCACCTCCACTAGCATGGGGATCTTCAACCACAGAAATTAAGAAACACGGTTTGCTAATGAAAACACTCTGAAAGTAATTTTTAAAGGCTATCATGGGCCTTCAGGTCAGTGTGGCCCATCCAAATTCTCTGGGCTACATTTGCTTTCTGGGTTATAATTAGCAACCATGCAGAAAGAGAAAACAAATTCAAAGAAACTAAGTAATGACCAAGTAGTAATGGGAAGGGCTCGGGTAGGCCAAAAAAACGGCAATACTACTACTCATGTATAATGGAATATAAAAGAAGCACAGGAGATTTTTCTGCTCCTACCCAAGGCTGCCTGCTATGTAGCTTACCCGACTCCGAAGACAGTCAGCCAGGTTTCGGCGCGTGAAATTTGCTGCCGCTGTGGGAGACAGTTCATAACCTGGCACAAGAGATAAACAGTCATACTTAAAGGAAAGCAGAAGGAACGACAGAACCCCAAATCATTACACTACTCCTATTCTTACAGCCTACCACCCTTTGTACACTCGAGTGTATATAAAGTACGCAGAACAGCGAGTGCAGTCTTTCTTCTCGTCCCGTTCCCCATCTAACGGTGGTGAGACAGCTGGTAGCACTGATAGTAACTCCTGGCCACAAAATAAAACCAAGGTGAGATTTAACTATTCTATGGTGACATCAAATTAACAGCCTTGCCTAAGCTATTTATTCATCAACAGACTGTGGTTTCCTCCATAGAAGGAAAGAAATACAAATACACAGGTGTTAGAAAAAAAAAAAAACAAGAGGTCTTGAGATGTCAACTGTTCTAGTTTATTTTTAACACATATTGGGGAAAGAGAGGCTGAGAGTTTGAAGAGGCTCAGAGTTACACTTTATAAGATTTTCTTTTACAAAAATTAATTTTATTAAGAACTATAATATGGTTTTTAAAAGTATAAGCCACAGGGGGGGAAATGTTGCTATCACTATCCACAACATTTTTAAAAAGAGTACCTCTAGCAGAAAACCTTTGAAAAAAGCTGTGATGCCAATAAAAGTATAGCCCAGAGGAACGGCATCAGGTGCACACGTACCAGGGCACTCACTCTGGAACTTCACCCCCAGTAAAACGGCACTAGCACCAACAGAGACATGAATGACCGAGAACCCAGCAGATCCACACAGAAAATGCCAGTTTGGAAAGACAGCAGGTGGTGAAGTTATTCCCTACAACATTTTAAACACTAGTGTCACATCAGGTAAGATTTAGATTAAAATTCTAACAAATATTTATTGAACAGCTATGTTTCAGGGTCTCTACTAGGTGATCTCACATGTATCAATGAATTTCATTCTCACAAGCCTATTAGCACATATTAAATTGTAATGGAAGCAGCTCTAGACAAGCAGGAATACTTTCCAATTCTCCACCTAACGTCCTGAACACAATTAAGGATTTGACAGTTATCTTAAAGGCAGAAAAGTCTGATGCCTGACCATCTGCATATAGATTTTTCTTTCCCTTATTTTAGCTTAGTTCTTAAACTTTAATATGCGTAAGAATTACTATGTAAGGTTATGTAAGCAAAACTACACTTGGCAGGTAATTTAAGGAATTTAAAGGGCAATTTTAACCTAATTGTCTTCCTAGACAAGAACCTGCTGGAGAGGCAAGGCAAAGCCCTTTTATGACAGAAAATCTCCTACAATCACAGAGCTTCAAGTTTACAAAGCATTTTCATACACATTATTCATTACTCTTATAATTCCATTGTAGAGATAAGGAAAATAAAAGGCCCAGAGAGGATAAGTGACTTGACACACACACAATAGTAAACCAAGTTTAACTTAGTTTTAACTCTGAGATTTTTTTTTAACTCTGAGATTCAGATATACTTTAGTTCAAATCACATCCTCTGAAATATCTTACTTGAAAAGTCTGATATTACCATGCCCATCTCCAATATGGTGTTAGTTTTCTCTCTCAAGTATCAGTGCTACAATGGTCCTCTTTTCTGAATTGTTATAGAAAATCTTTATGATCAGAAGAGGGATCTAGGTAAGGTTTCAAAAATAGGAAGAATCAAATAAAATTTTGGTGTGTACACCATTTTGGTGTGCTCATGTATAGAACTGACAGTAGAGAGATTCTTTTTCAGTACAAAGTTAAAAACAAACCAACCAAAGCTACATTCTGAGTATTACCCACCATTTCGCATCTTATAAAGTTGCACATTTTTCTGAATATATTCTGCAAACTGGACAGTGTCTCCAGCCTCTCCGACACACAGGAGTAAGATTTTTTCACTCATCTTAAACATCTTGTCATGATCTGCTCAGAGAAAAACACATCAGAAATTACCTTTTCAGAAGTTTACTAATATACAGGCAACCAGAAACATTTATCAATTACTATATTGAATAACTTAACTAATCACTGTTTTTAGAAGACTTTAATGGGCAACAGTATTAATTACTCTTTCCCTCTACATTTTACAACTATCAGCATATTTTATTAATGTTGGTTTCAGATGGAGATCATACATGAAAGCTGACAACTGAAAATACAATGAAAAACAAAGAAACCAAAAGGAACCAAGCCAAAGGCCATTATCTTTAGACTCATGATTAAAAAGTCCTGTAATGTCTCTACAAATACAAATGTTAGTCATTATATTTATACACATTTATATACAGAATCATAAATGAAAAGGACTGGTGCTACAATTGAAATTAAGGAGCCATCTCAAGAAAAAAATAAGCTGAAAATATAAGTCACCTTAAAAAGTAAACCACCTCCATTTCTAAAGCAAAGGGAAAATTAAAATGATTGCCAAAGCAAAAGTTCTAATGAATATTGTAACACTAAGCTATTTAAAAATACCTCAAAATCCCAACACTCTAATCTTATCTAGCTGAACCAGACCAACTCAGATTAGATAGATAAATAAATATTCAGATAGCAATTAGTGCCCCAGGAAGAAAACGCCACAGTCAGCCTGAAGCTTCGGAAAAAGCTTAAATCCCCCTATCTTACTTTCACTTTCACTTTTCATTTTTGAAATAGTGCTAATAATCTTCCCTGGGAGACATGTTTCCTGTTTGAAACCTTCTGAAATGTCGAAATCCCTTAATAGGATTTAAAGAACAAAATGCTACAGTCAAAATACTTTCCAAGTATTTGAGTTGTGGATACCAGTAATATGGCTTAGCCTTTGAACACACACAGGCAGACACACACATGCACGCAGTGCTTGTAGAGTGTCAAATTGACTTGAAACTCCTACACAAACACATCTTCATTTGTTACAGGCTAAGGAGATTTAACGACTGTTTGCAAACTTGTTTAAAAAAGAAAAAAAATGTCACCTATAGTTATAATATCTATGCAAAGAAAAAAGACCAGAGGTGTATTAGATGCCACTGGCACCTAAGTTCTTGCCAGTAGCAAAAGTATGGGCAATTTTTATTTCCTTCGTTTTGCTTATCAGTATGTCCTAAAATGTCTATTCTTAACACGTATCATTATTGTAAGAAAATATTAGTAAGTTTGCATTATTTTCAAAATGAGGAAAAAAGCTGTTCTTATTTTTTTTGGGGGGGACTGCTTGTTTACAAGGAATTTATGTTATATTTAGAAGAAATCTAAAATACTCAAACTGTCCAACTTTGAAATGAACTTAATACATGGCCAAACGTATTTTTTAAACATCTACTGCATGTCCAGTGAGTAGTGAAGGGGGAAATAAAAACAAAAGTGACAGATGCTAGCAGCTCCCTGAGTTGTGCAAGAAACAGCCTATGTAGCTCTAGGGAATTTCTGACCCTTAGAGAACCTACAAGATCCACTTACATGAAAAAAATGGACAACAAAATGAACATCAATGTACAATTCTGTGGAAAGGCAACTGGACCAGAACCCAATCGACCTTAGTTCTAACCTGGGCTCGGCACTCAGAGTTTGGGCAAATGATTTGCCCTCTCTAAGCCCCAGTTTCCAAGTATATAAAATGGTAATACTATCCCTTACAGCTATCTAACTCATAGGCAGGAAAACTGTACATGTACATATTATTAGATTCAGTGTTACACAATATAGTTCAGATTATACATGCTATAGGAATTCAGAGAGAAAAAAAAGACATTCTATGTAGGTTTAAATACTCTGAACAATTCTGTATAGGCCAAGAGACAGGTGTGAAATGTGGCATATAACCAAACTTAAGAATTGGGCCACTTTACTAAGCGAGCAATCTCTGGAGATTATCTTCTGTAAAGTATCAAAATATCTTACAAAATGACAAACCCCCAAAAATGACTGGAAATATCACTAATTTTATACCTGGAGAAAAAGAATCCCAAAAGGTCACTCATTTTCAGCATTCTTGCCTGCCCAAGTTCCTTCACGACATGAACTATAAAAAAAGTCCTAAACCCTGGCTGGCGTAGCTCAGTGGATTGAGCATGGGCTGCAAACCAAAGTGTCGCAGGTTCAATTCCCAGTCACGGTACATACCTGGGTTGCACGCCATGACCCCCAGCAACCACACATTGATGTTTCTCTCTCTTTCTCCCTCCCTTCCCTCTCTCTCTCTCTCTAAAAAAAAAAAAAAAAAAAATCCTCACCCAAGGATATGTTTATTGGTTTAAAAATTTTTTTTTAAAAAGTCTTCATGCAATTCCAAAGCCGCCACCACAAAAATTTTTATACCAGGAAAGACTATAGGGAAAATTAGGCACTGAGTTGACTGCAATTATTTCCAAACATTTTCAAGAACTCAAATTCATTTGTCTTCCACACCACAGTGATCTTCTTTTCTCTGAATACCCTTAGGACTTATTCCTAAAATCATCAATTTAAAAACTAACCTAATACTTACTAGTGACACTGCTTTCAACAAACTAAATGATCTTGCAGTATTTATTTCCTTGTTTTCTTAATGTCTTAGACCACTCTGTGGATCCTATCTAATACAGTGCATCCCCTGTAACACCTAGGAGTACTGTGCACATAAGCAGAGTTCAAGCACATTCTACCTTCCAAAGTGATTTAACATACACGAAGTTCAAAAACTTGCCTAAGACCGCGAGTGGCAGAACCCAGTTGAACCGATGTAGTCTGGCCTCTAAAGGTGCTGACTTAGTTACTGCTCTACTTAAGCACTATTGCATGCTAAATCACTTACATACCAAAGGTCTTAGCAGTCAAAATGATGAACAGATCTACTCTCAAAACAAATTTACTCCTTTGGAAAAGCATGGTTTACAAACAGAACTTCAAACTAATTATGCACTTTCATAGAGTAATTTGACTTGAGGAACAACGCATAACATAGATGTTTAACAAACCACTTTCAGGTCTCTCCTTCTTCACAGGGAATAAAAACCAAGCAGAGTCCCTCAGAGTTCTCTCCATATTCCCAAGTGATGACAGCCTGACAATCAGACGCCTGTCACTTACAAAAGCAGTGGTGGACACCTCTTTCCCTTTGTTCACATACTACAGGAAATCCCAGATTTAATAATTTTTCTTTCTTTAAGCCCAGGAGAAACTATTATCTGTTCTCCTCAAAGTTCTCCCTAACCTCTATAACCAGAGAGAATCTCTTCTTCCTCTGGATTACCTAAAAACAATCTCTCCTATCTCTGCACTACCTCAGAAGTTTGACTCTATTTTTCTTATGGAGCATACTTGTCTTGTGCTACAATTACGTGTACACATATCTGAGTTTTTTGTTAAACTGTAACTTATTTTTTTTAAGATTTTATTTATTTATTTTTACAGAGTGGGGAGAGAGGGAGAAAGAGAGAGAGAGAAACATCAATGTGTGATTGCCTCTCTCGAACCCCCTACTGGGGGCCTGACCTGACCTGGCCCACAACCCAGACATGTGCCCTGACTGGGAATAAAACCAGAACCTTTTTGTTCGCAGTCTAGCACTAATCCACTGAGTCACACCAGCCAGAGCTAAACCATAACTTCTTTTAAGACGTGGGCCACATTCCTCTTTGTATCCCTTCAGTACCTAGCACTGTAAAGGGCACATAGGTGGCCAAAATCTGTCAAGTGAACATTAAATCACCTGAACCAAGGCATAATACTTTTCAACAGTAACATGCCTATGGTCAGGCAGGACTGCAGGGGGCCAGTATATACAGTAGTTATGGGCAAAAGATACGGGGTCAAACTGCATAGGTTCAACTGGGTTGTGCCACCTATAGTTGTAGGCAAGTTTTTCAACCTCTGTGCCTCAAAACTAACGTTTGTAAGGTGATGATATAATAGTGCTTATCTCAGAGCAACAGGGTGGGGGGCGATTGGGACAACTGTAACTAAACAATTTTTTTAAAAGTTTAAATGGATTAATGTAAATTGGTTAAAATCACACACAATACATAAGTGCTTGGTATTATTACATAAGTATTTCTAACTGTGGTAAGCATTTGCACAAAACTTTTTTACTAATCCTCCCAACAAGCTTGGGATTTAACCGTTTTTAGACAATTTTTATGAGTTTATTTGAGCCAGACTGACCGCAATTGCCAGGAAGCAAGATTTCAAAGGCACCCAGATGTATCATGAGGAAATCGGGGCACTGTGAAATAACTTACACAAAGTCATAAAGCAAATTAAGTGACAGGGCTCTAGCTTCTAAACTCCTCCAACTACCTAAATATAAGAAAAATGCGACAGCCAATGCCCTGGAGAACTGGAAACGGGATCAGAGCTGAGACAAAGGAGGACACAGGCAGGGGAAGGGGAATGCCAACTCTAGTTCCACAGTCTCCCTCTCCCCAGGATCCCACCTTATGCTGCCAGCAAACTAACCTCGTTAGTAGCGAGCGACATCAGGAAATTCATCAGATATTCTGGGTCTAGGGAGCATGGCGCTTGGCAAGTGCTTAACCACTTAAAAACTGAAATCCCTTCGGCAACTCTCGCCTAGAACGCGTTTAGCCAAGGCCAGGGCAGAGCACTGACCCAGGAGGCCAGGGAGGACCGAACGTTAAGCCCCCAGGCTTGCCTGCCAGTCTCCTAATTCTAAAAAGTAAAGCAAGTGCAGATCAGGGCAGGCTTGGTTTCACCTTCCGGACCTCCCAGGTATTCACCCATGTCCCCACGAAGTTTCTACCGGCTGTCCCTACACCCAGGCCGGGAAGGGCCACCCCAGCTTCCTCACCGTCCTTCATCTGGACAATACTGGTAGCAGCCACCCTGTCGGAGGCGACAAGGACAAAGTCAGGGCCCTGGATGCCGATGAGGTACTCCATGCTGGCGGGAGGCCGGCTGCTGCAGGCTCGACAGGGCGCGGAACTCCCCGGCTTCACTACCCCACCAGTGAGACAGCACTACCTACCGCAGTTTAGCTCTACGCAGGCCGCGCGACTGTCCCGGCCACCGGCGCTCCCGGATGACGTAAACTGTCGCGAGACTTTGGAAAGTGGGCGTGGGGTTGGGCTGTTAAAAGTCTGCACTCGCTTCCTGGCATGTCGTCAGGGACGTCGCAATGCCAGTTCTGAAAGGGTTGGCTTGTTATATGATGCCCAGTTCCTTCTTTCCTTCCTTTCTTTTTTTTTTTTTTAACATTTTATTTATTTACTTTTAGAGAGGGGAAGGGAGGGAGAAGGAGAGGGAGAGAAACATCAATGTGAGGTTGTCTCTCGCGTACCCTTCACGGGGGACCTACTTAGCTTTCAACCCAGGCATGCTCCCGGACTTGGAATCAAACCCGCGACCCCTTGGCTCGCAGGCTGGCACCCAATCCACTGAGCCACACCAGCCAGGGCAATGCTCAGTTTATCTATGAATCTAGCGCTTAAAACTCTCTTGAAGATGAAATCACGTGCTATATGTAAAATGCTGAGCACGTGTGAATGCCAAAAAGGCGTGTGATCCTAGTGGCTGTTGCTCGTTGAAGTATCTCCCCAAACCTCTTCCCTAGGGATTGGAGAAAAAGAAACTTGATGGGAGACCTGTTAAATTGTTTCACAAAAATAAAATATGATTGAGTCAAATCATAAAAACGGTGGAGGATAAAGTATAATTTGATAATCTTTGGAAAGATTATGTGTTTCTAAGCATGACAGGGAACCCCAAAACAGGAAAAGATAGGAGGAAAGTATTATAATGTTCAAACGTAGGTATAAATTGAGAAGGTGTTTCAATATATAAAATAGTTCATAACTGTAACTTAAAAGGTATTCTTACAAATCAATGGAGGAAAGATAACACAATTTTTACATCGCAATTCGCAAAAGAAGCAACACAAGTAGCCAAGAAATGAAAAGATCTGCAACCTCAATGGTAAATAAGAATATGAGAAATAAGAAACACTGAGGAATTATAAATTATTGGTAAGATTATAAAGACTTTTTATAGAGGACAATTGGATATCTGTTAAAATATAAATGTACATAACTTTTTATATGTGGCCTAAACAAATGTATGCAGAAACACCCAAATATTTATATGCAGAGATATTCATTGCATTGCAGTACAGCAACAGCAAAAAAAGGGGGATAGGGACGAAATGAAATGTCCATAAGTGAATAAACTGTGTTTTAAATGATTTTATTTATTTATTTTTAGACAGAAGAGATGGAGAAAGAGAAACATCAATGTGTGGTTGTCTCTCTGGCGCCCCCTACTGGGGACCTGGCCCACAACCTAGGCATGTGCCCTGACTGGGAATCAAACGATCCTTTGGTTCACAGGCCAGCACTCAATCCATTAAACCACACCGGCCTGAGCTGAAGAAATTGTTATATAAACTGCACATTCATGCAGTGGAATATTATGCAGCTATTAAAAGAGTAAAATCAATCTAAGCCTACCTATATATTCCATGTAGTCCAGATATATTAAGTAAAAATGAAAATGCATTCCTTTGTGTAGCACGATGCCATTTTTAAAACCCCATGTATATATGATTATTAATGGGAAAGATATATTTACAGATGTTCCAACCTCAAATTATATGCAGTTGTTACCTCTGGTAATAGTGATTAAAAGGGAGGGCTTTCACTTTTTCTCTTATACACATCTGTATCATGTGAATGTTTTACAATGCTCATGAATTACTCATTTTTTTAAAATAAGAAAATGCACAGCCATGTCTTTATATCTGGCAGCCATTCTGGAAAAAGCTGAAATATTCCATGATTAGTTTCTGACATCCACAATTCAGTACTAGCCCTACTGGCTTCCAACACAGTTGCAATTATATCTCAAATGCAACTGTGCAATTCATTTGCTCCTGCAGAAATCTGCAGTTCTTACTCTATTCTGAATGTTTCTTCCAGCTCTCTGCCCATGAAGGAACATAGACCCTGAGGAGTGTGGGATAGCCCATCTATTACAGGATGGATGCCAGGGGCAAGGAGGTCATTAAGTCAACCATCCCACTATGAACACAGATGCATCCATCATCTTAGAAATCCTTTTCTTAAACACCACTGGGAAAGAAGTCCCTCAAGCCTGCCTCTCCCTCTCTCCCTCCCTCTGTCTCTCTCTCTCTCTCTCTCCCCCGCCTCCTCTTTCTCTGCCATTGTGTGTATGTTTTTTTAATTACAAATAGTATATATTTATACTATGCACACACCCACATGAATAACACAGAAGTGAAGAGTTAAATATCTCTCCTTCCACCAAAGGTAACTACCCACAAGATGTCTCGATCCTTCCAGACTTTTTTCCCTTCATACATATCAATATTCATTCATTCACAAAAGCTGCAGAATTCTGAATTGGAAGATCCACAATCTTTTTTTAAAAGGACCTGACAATCTTTTAAGCTGGTTCTTCTCTCTTCTTCTTTAGGATTTTTTTTTAAATCCCCTCTAGCCAAGTCACACCAGAGATTATCTTAACTTCTTGTTAATAAAGAAGAAAATGGGTTTTCAAGACCCAACTTGTATTATCTCACTAGGAGTCAAAGAGAATTCCTTTTCCACCTAAAGCCTTAAAATAATTTAGTTTCAGAATTTAAAAAATATATCTGTGGAGGGTCCAGTAACAGCATGATACAGCCAACTTTTCCTGTAAAGGGCCATATTTTTGGCTTTTCGGGCCATGCAGCATCTGTGACAACTACTCAATGATGCCATTGTAGTGAAAAAGCAATCGTGTCCAATACGTAAATGGGTGACCACTGCTACATTCTCATAGAACAACAGCAGGTGAGGGAGAAAGGGAAAGCTGGATTTCGCCCAAGGGCAATAGTTTGCTGACCCCTGATGTAGGAAGAGTCCTGCAAATCAACACTTAACTCTGGCTCCAGCTCTACCTTTTCCAACCTTAGTGTAAAATTCATGAAGCCCCAACTTCCTTATCTACAAAAGGGACTTTCAGAAGAGAGATTTCCTTTGTATTTCTCTTGGTTGGTTTTGTGAGTATAAGGAACCATATCCTAATCCCTCATGAGCCCTGGGGAGTTTGAAAGGATCTTAAAGAAGAATGATTGTAGTATATCTAAGGAACATGGCTATAGTATGGGAGGCAACCAACTTCACCAAGACTCCCAAGCTCAAGGTTGATATGGAAGCATCAGCACAGCCCACACTCACAAGACCCCATGAGCTTAGACAGTATGGTTGAGACAGTGTTAAACTGGAGATCAGAAGCTCACCCCTAAATATTCAAGAATGTTAATGCATTGCATACAGTTGATGCCTTGCCCATATCCCTTTTACATACCTATAATAGCTGCTATAAATATTGGTCAGTAACTCATAACTGTTTCTTTCATCAAAGAATTTCTCTCAACCACATGGGAGGCATCCTTGCCTGGGAGGCTATGTACCTATACCAAGCCCCAGCCAATAACTGGTTGACAAAGGGTAAAAGGTCAATTCCCTTAACTTAAAATGGGATAGTTTGTCTTCCAGAGTTTTCCCATGGATCAGCCTAAAGCTAGTCTCCCTCCAAGATCACACAGTGTGCATTTAATAAATGATATTATTGTTGTTATTATTACTAACAGTTGTGCAAAGGGCCAATCAATGGCCAGTTAGAACTGTCCATCAGAGCCACACACCACTGTGGAAGGTAGATGTAGCAGGGCTGTACCAGAAGGAAGTTCAGTACAGGAGAGGTTGAACCAGAGGGGCATTCGGCCAGTCAGAACACTGGGTACCAAAACAAAATGTAGAAGAGGGAAGGCAGCCAGGCCATCACACCTCAAATGGAGAGTCAGGAAGGGAAATAAGCCAAGGGATGGGTGAGATTCAAATACAAATGGGTGAACCGTGCTCATTTGAAATGAACACCCTGAAAGGCAGTGTCCTTCCTGCCCCAAGGTACCTGAGGTGATAGAAGCAGAAGTAGAGAAAAAGAGCCAGGACAGATAATAACCTTCTCAAAATTCAGTTTTTCTCCCTTGCTTCTCGACTACTAATCTAGGAAAAAGAAGTTTGGCTTTTAGTTAGAAGGCTTGAGAAAGGAGCCAACCTTGGGGAAGAGGTTAAATTGAAACTGGAACTTAGAAATTAGGCAAACTCTGTGGCTGGGTCTTGCACTCCAGCCTTTAGTTGCTCCATCTGGAAAGGAAAAATTCCCCCTGGAAAATCTCCCTTTCTCCCACCCCCATCATCCCTGGGATGTATGGTTGGCCTAAAACACAAACACCAAGGCTGGCTGGTGCTCTCAGCAGCAAGTTCTAACATCCCAGAGACTGTCAAACAAAAGACACCTTCCTGCTCCTTACCTTACCCTCAGGGCCCAGAACTGTCACATCTGCTGATGGCCAAAAACACAACTCTGCCTGTAGGTCCCACTGCAGCTGACTCAGCCCCAGTAGAACTGAAGTGGTCCATGATCAGAGATCTGTTGCTGCCTTGTGCCATCTGAAACTGGCTGCACCAAGCACATCACTGGCAAACAATTGCTATTTACCATCTGTAATTGTCTTAACCTCTTTCCCAGTGGCAGGGAAATGGACCTCATGACTTTTAGAGAGTTCCATGGTCCAAGAATCCTATTATGATTTAAGATGGTGATTCTGGGGTCCTTTAGGAAAAGTCATGGTGGACTTAGGAGGGTTCTACACAAACATCAGAAGTATCATTTGTGCCATCTGACTTCTGGTTCTCAAGATCACACAGAACCAAGAAACCTGGTGCACCTCCTTCCAATGACTGGGACCAGAAGGATTTCAGGACCATGTTAAGCCCTGCCTGATCAGTCTCCCTCCAATTCTCACCCCAAATCCAACTTCCACCTGAAACCCGCCCTTAATTACCCCATTACCTATTCAGGGTTTGGTTAAAAAAAAAAAGCTGTTGAGTCCTCTTGACTAGGGCCCTTTGATCTGGTGGTTGCTGCTCCATAGCATTCCTGCACTATATTCCCACT